CATGACATAACTTTGCTCTGTATTCCAGGGTAGCTGATGCTGTCCATCACAGTACTTTGCCCCGTGTCCCAGGGTAGCTGATGCTGTCTATGACATAACTTTGCTCTGTATTCCAGGGTAGCTGATGCTGTCCATCACATTACTTTGCTCTGTATTCCAGGGTAGCTGATGCTGTCTATGACATAACTTTGCTCTGTATTCCAGGGTAGCTGATGCTGTCCATGACATTACTTTGCCCTGTATTCCAGGGTAGCTGATGCTGTCCATCACATTACTTTGCCCTGTATTCCAGGGTAGCTGATGCTGTCCATGACATTACTTTGCCCTGTATTCCAGGGTAGCTGATGCTGTCCATCACATTACTTTGCTCTGTATCCCAGGGTAGCTGATGCTGTCCATGACATTACTTTGCCCTGTATTCCAGGGTAGCTGATGCTGTCTATGACATAACTTTGCTCTGTATCCCAGGGTAGCTGATGCTGTCCATCACATTACTTTGCTCTGTATTCCAGGGTAGCTGATGCTGTCTATGACATTACTCTGCTCTGTATTCCAGGGTAGCTGATGCTGTCCATGACATTACTTTGCCCTGTATCCCAGGGTAGCTGATGCTGTCTATGACATTACTCTGCTCTGTATTCCAGGGTAGCTGATGCTGTCTATGACATTACTTTGCCCTGTATTCCAGGGTAGCTGATGCTGTCTATGACATTACTTTGCCCCGTGTCCCAGGGTAGCTGATGCTGTCCATCACATTACTTTGCTCTGTATCCCAGGGTAGCTAATGCTGTCTATGACATTACTTTGCTCTGTATCCCAGGGTAGCTGATGCTGTCCATCACATTACTTTGCTCTGTATTCCAGGGTAGCTGATGCTGTCCATGACATTACTTTGCTCTGTATCCCAGGGTAGCTGATGCTGTCCATCACATTACTTTGCCCCGTGTCCCAGGGTAGCTGATGCTGTCCATCACATTACTTTGCTCTGTATCCCAGGGTAGCTGATGCTGTCCATGACATTACTTTGCCCCGTGTCCCAGGGTAGCTGATGCTGTCCATCACATTACTTTGCCCTGTATCCCAGGGTAGCTGATGCTGTCCATCACATTACTTTGCTCTGTATTCCAGGGTAGCTGATGCTGTCTATGACATAACTTTGCTCTGTATTCCAGGGTAGCTGATGCTGTCCATGACATTACTTTGCCCCGTGTTCCAGGGTAGCTGATGCTGTCCATCACATTACTTTGCCCCGTGTCCCAGGGTAGCTGATGCTGTCTATGACATAACTTTGCTCTGTATTCCAGGGTAGCTGATGCTGTCCATCACATTACTTTGCCCCGTGTCCCAGGGTAGCTGATGCTGTCTATGACATAACTTTGCTCTGTATTCCAGGGTAGCTGATGCTGTCCATCACAGTACTTTGCCCCGTGTCCCAGGGTAGCTGATGCTGTCCATGACATTACTTTGCTCTGTATTCCAGGGTAGCTGATGCTGTCTATGACATAACTTTGCTCTGTATTCCAGGGTAGCTGATGCTGTCCATGACATTACTTTGCCCCGTGTTCCAGGGTAGCTGATGCTGTCCATCACATTACTTTGCCCCGTGTCCCAGGGTAGCTGATGCTGTCTATGACATAACTTTGCTCTGTATTCCAGGGTAGCTGATGCTGTCCATCACATTACTTTGCCCCGTGTCCCAGGGTAGCTGATGCTGTCTATGACATAACTTTGCTCTGTACCCCAGGGTAGCTGATGCTGTCCATCACATTACTTTGCCCCGTGTCCCAGGGTAGCTGATGCTGTCCATGACATAACTTTGCTCTGTATTCCAGGGTAGCTGATGCTGTCCATCACATTACTTTGCCCCGTGTCCCAGGGTAGCTGATGCTGTCCATGACATTACTTTGCTCTGTATTCCAGGGTAGCTGATGCTGTCCATCACATTACTTTGCCCCGTGTCCCAGGGTAGCTGATGCTGTCCATCACATTACTTTGCCCCGTGTCCCAGGGTAGCTGATGCTGTCCATGACATTACTTTGCTCTGTATTCCAGGGTAGCTGATGCTGTCCATCACATTACTTTGCCCCGTGTGCCAGGGTAGCTGATGCTGTCCATGACATAACTTTGCTCTGTATTCCAGGGTAGCTGATGCTGTCCATCACATTACTTTGCCCCGTGTCCCAGGGTAGCTGATGCTGTCCATAACATAACTTTGCTCTGTATTCCAGGGTAGCTGATGCTGTCCATCACATTACTTTGCCCCGTGTCCCAGGGTAGCTGATGCTGTCCATGACATTACTTTGCCCTGTGTCCCAAGGTAGCTGATGCTGTCCATGACATTACTTTGCTCTGTATTCCAGGGTAGCTGATGCTGTCCATCACATTACTTTGCCCTGTATTCCAGGGTAGCTGATGCTGTCCATGACATTACTTTGCTCTGTATCCCAGGGTAGCTGATGCTGTCCATCACATTACTTTGCCCTGTGTCCCAAGGTAGCTAATGCTGTCCATGACATTACTTTGCTCTGTATTCCAGGGTAGCTGATGCTGTCCATCACAGTACTTTGCCCCGTGTCCCAGGGTAGCTGATGCTGTCTATGACATAACTTTGCTCTGTATTCCAGGGTAGCTGATGCTGTCCATCACATTACTTTGCTCTGTATTCCAGGGTAGCTGATGCTGTCTATGACATAACTTTGCTCTGTATTCCAGGGTAGCTGATGCTGTCCATGACATTACTTTGCCATGTATTCCAGGGTAGCTGATGCTGTCCATCACATTACTTTGCTCTGTATTCCAGGGTAGCTGATGCTGTCCATCACATTACTTTGCTCTGTATCCCAGGGTAGCTGATGCTGTCCATCACATTACTTTGCCCCGTGTCCCAGGGTAGCTGATGCTGTCCATCACATTACTTTGCTCTGTATTCCAGGGTAGCTGATGCTGTCCATGACATTACTTTGCCATGTATTCCAGGGTAGCTGATGCTGTCCATCACATTACTTTGCTCTGTATCCCAGGGTAGCTGATGCTGTCCATCACATTACTTTGCCCCGTGTCCCAGGGTAGCTGATGCTGTCCATCACATTACTTTGCTCTGTATTCCAGGGTAGCTGATGCTGTCCATCACATTACTTTGCCCCGTGTCCCAGGGTAGCTGATGCTGTCCATCACATTACTTTGCCCCGTGTCCCAGGGTAGCTGATGCTGTCCATGACATTACTTTGCCCCGTGTCCCAGGGTAGCTGATGCTGTCCATCACATTACTTTGCCCCGTGTCCCAGGGTAGCTGATGCTGTCCATCACATTACTTTGCCCCGTGTCCCAGGGTAGCTGATGCTGTCCATGACATTACTTTGCTCTGTATTCCAGGGTAGCTGATGCTGTCCATCACATTACTTTGCCCCGTGTCCCAGGGTAGCTGATGCTGTCCATCACATTACTTTGCCCCGTGTCCCAGGGTAGCTGATGCTGTCCATGACATTACTTTGCTCTGTATTCCAGGGTAGCTGATGCTGTCCATCACATTACTTTGCCCCGTGTCCCAGGGTAGCTGATGCTGTCCATGACATAACTTTGCTCTGTATTCCAGGGTAGCTGATGCTGTCCATCACATTACTTTGCCCCGTGTCCCAGGGTAGCTGATGCTGTCCATGACATTACTTTGCCCTGTGTCCCAAGGTAGCTGATGCTGTCCATGACATTACTTTGCTCTGTATTCCAGGGTAGCTGATGCTGTCCATCACATTACTTTGCCCTGTATTCCAGGGTAGCTGATGCTGTCCATGACATTACTTTGCTCTGTATCCCAGGGTAGCTGATGCTGTCCATCACATTACTTTGCCCTGTGTCCCAAGGTAGCTAATGCTGTCCATGACATTACTTTGCTCTGTATTCCAGGGTAGCTGATGCTGTCCATCACAGTACTTTGCCCCGTGTCCCAGGGTAGCTGATGCTGTCTATGACATAACTTTGCTCTGTATTCCAGGGTAGCTGATGCTGTCCATCACATTACTTTGCTCTGTATTCCAGGGTAGCTGATGCTGTCTATGACATTACTTTGCTCTGTATTCCAGGGTAGCTGATGCTGTCCATGACATTACTTTGCCATGTATTCCAGGGTAGCTGATGCTGTCCATCACATTACTTTGCTCTGTATTCCAGGGTAGCTGATGCTGTCCATGACATTACTTTGCTCTGTATTCAAGGGTAGCTGATGCTGTCCATCACATTACTTTGCTCTGTATCCCAGGGTAGCTAATGCTGTCTATGACATAACTTTGCCCTGTATTCCAGGGTAGCTGATGCTGTCCATCACATTACTTTGCCATGTATTCCAGGGTAGCTGATGCTGCCCATGACATTACTTTCCTCTGTATTTCAGGGTAGCTGATGCTGTCTATGACATTACTTTGCCATGTATTCCAGGGTAGCTGATGCTGTCCATCACATTACTTTGCTCTGTATTCCAGGGTAGCTGATGCTGTCTATGACATAACTTTGCTCTGTATTCCAGGGTAGCTGATGCTGTCTATAACATTACTTTGCTCTGTATTCCAGGGTAGCTGATGCTGTCTATAACATTACTTTACCCTGTATACCAGGGTAGCTGATGCTGTCTATAACATTATTGTGCCCTGTGTTCCAGGGTAGCTGATGCTGTCCATCACATTACTCTGCTCTGTATTCCAGGGTAGCTGATGCTGTCTATAACATTACTTTACCCTGTATACCAGGGTAGCTGATGCTGTCCATCACATTACTCTGCTCTGTATTCCAGGGTAGCTGATGCTGTCTATAACATTACTTTACCCTGTATTCCAGGGTAGCTGATGCTGTCTATAACATTATTGTGCCCTGTGTTCCAGGGTAGCTGATGCTGTCTATAACATTATTGTGCCCTGTGTTCCAGGGTAGCTGATGCTGTCTATAACATTATTGTGCCCTGTATACCAGGGTAGCTGATGCTGTCTATAACATTATTGTGCCCTGTGTTCCAGGGAAAGTGTCCATCCCTTTCGTAGCTCCATACTCTGCATCCAAGTTTGCCCTGGATGGATTTTTCAGTGCTTTGAGACAGGAGCTAAGGATGAAAAACTGTGATATATCTATTACATTATGCATCATTGGATTGGTAGGTAAGTGAACTCCTCCTAGGTTTGTCACCTTCATTCCCATGGGGACACTCTCACTACCCTTACTATAAGGCAACACTTTTTGATTTTTTATGTTTCACAGATTTATTCCAGCTTTTCCACACAAGGCCAGTCTAAATAAAAATAAAATAAACAGCTATGTCAATCATTTATTTTTATGAAAACCATTCTGCATTTGAGTTCAAAGTACAGTTGGCGTCTTGAATCACTGATAGTGATGTAGACATGGAATTTATATATTTATAACATTTTTTTATTGAGGGTCTATATTACTAAGAGCGGGAGACATAATAAAAATATATATTTTTATGTTTCATTTATTTATTTCTAAGCTGAATTCAGTTGGGGCAGCAGGCCTGTGAAACAAACAAAAAAAATTTCTGGCCTTAGAGTCACGCAAAATATTTTTGAGATCATTAACATCTTTTCTTCTGAAACTGCTTGTTGATAACACTTAATATTTACATGATTCTCAACAAGGCCTACCAGGTCAGTGGCATATATCTTTCAAAGACCTACTTCATCCTCAAAAGATTATTAGGGAAATTATGGTCAGCCATTCAGTTGAAATAAAGAAGTAATAAGAGTATGTAATTACAGTCAAGTGTTACGGAAAGATTATAAATCACTAATAAAGGTCAAAATAAAAACAATGTGTACTGAAGAGTGTCACATAAAGGGACACCGAATGCTAAAGACAACATTGATAATAAAGAATGCCAGATGGTGCTGCAATTTGTACATCATTTCAATTTTAATCGGTTTGTACATCATCACTTCTGTACATGTGTGTTACATCATCACTTCTGTACATGTGTGTTACATCATCACTTCTGTACATGTGTGTTACATCATCACTTCTGTACATGTGTGTTACATCATCACTTCTGTACATGTGTGTTACATCATCACTTCTGTACATGTGTGTTACATCATCACTTCTGTACATGTGTTGGATGTCACGGTTGATGACACAGTTATCTTACACCATTATCTTACAATGGATAACGCACATTAGCTGGATTGAATAGATCATCTTCCACAGGCTGCGCCTCGTAATTACCATGTTTTTAAGCTTGGCTCGGGGGTCAGGCCTATTATCAGGTAATCAAGAATTAGATTATGTTCAGAGCCTGATGAATCCTTGGTTGCCATGTTGCCTTGTTTGAGTTTGAAAAACAGGAGCATGGGGCTGTTTCCCAGCCACTGACGCTACGAGCATTGTGGACATAAGAAGCGTACTGTCAGGGCGATCATCAAAAGCTCAGACTCCATCATTATGTCAGATCATCAGCATCAAGTACAGAAAAAAAATGTAAAAAAATACATTGTACCCCCAAATCTTGGAAACAAATAACTATGCTTCATTTTGTTGGAAAAAGAGAAACTGTCTACCACAAAAACACAATGTTGCAATGGCTCGTAGTTTCAAATAAAAAAAATATGTGGTTTTGCAGCTGTAGTTGAACAAATATCTGGTCTCAGTACATTATCCCAGGTTCCCCCACCACCCTCCTTGCTGGTTGGTTGTTAAGCAAGGAGGGTGGTTATGTCTGAAACAAAATATTCACATCTTCATAAATTTACTCAACAAGAAATATTGGTTATGTAGACCTGAAATTCCAGATGGAATCAGTATGGAAACTTCACACTTCAGTTGACGGTTGCCGTTACAAGGTTTTTTTGAGTGATTGGTCACTTGAATTACAACACCATTCATTAGATTTGGTATTAGTAATGAGTTGTTTTCATTGGATAACATGGGTTTGGGAAACACTCCATGTAGTCATGGTCGTCACGTCTCAGCAACAAGTTTTCATTGTACATTGACCAGTATGGGACCACGAAGCTCTCTGAGTAAACACATCATCTATAGTGAATAGTGCCTTTTCCTCCTTGTTCTCTCTAAAACAGAGTTGTAAGTGGAAAACAGAAGGTCAGACTGCATGGTCATGCTCGGAGCACCAATGTTGCCAGCTCAGTAAGGGAATGATTGTTTGACTGTACATAGCTAGCTGTTCTTAACAGACTGATAATATCATTCTTCCTGGAGGATGTCAGAACTCCGCATACTTTCCTGAATAGGATCTTATTTGCGTTGATTGATAAACCATATAAACCATTAGCAGGGGAGTTCCTTTTTCAGTTATCTGTTCCGCTAGCTATGACTACAGCAGCTTGAGTATCGAAGTATACATGAATCATTTGGGACTTATTCACGCAGAGGATTAGAGCTCAATGTTTATCCATTCTCTCCCACAGTTTGTGGCCAAGATCCAGTCAGCATATGTGGGACATGGACAACACTCCAAACCTGTTAGGTTAGACTGTGGATCACCCTGATCAATGCCCATGTCCAGTTAGAGCACTAAAGTTTTATCTGGCAGCAATGGAATCACATAAAGGGCACAGAGAACCACTTTTCTTATCTTGTAAGGCAGCTTCAGACAAGGACATCATGAAAGCCAAAGTTGCAGGAAGGCTAAAGACCTCAATATCAGTAACAGGAAGTGATGTCATAATAGGACAAGTGACACTGAAAGACCACAATGACACCACAATTTCTTCAAGAGGTTCAAATACAGTTTTTGTTAAGGCTGCCTCAGTAGCCATTTTTAAAAATGTAATGACATTTGGTCTATGTTTAGTTAGAAGTGGGACTCAACATTAATACAGTATTCCATTTTTTGTGATATTTTAAATTTTGAACCTTCTTTTGACCATGCTCAGTAATTTGCCGACTGACGAAGCTGAACCTTGTTTCTCCTTATGAGGAAATCATATTTTGTACACATCCGTAGAATTTGTGTTGGTGATTTTAAAAAGGCCTCAGTATTTATGAGGAAAGTATTTAAATATCAGTGCTGACCTCTGCTTCTTTTAAGATTGGTAAACTATCAGATACAGTAACATGCCACTATTTGTCATATTTTCATATTTACAATATATTTGACAATATACGTTTAATTGTTTCAGTAATGCATGTAGACAATGTTCTGATCAATCTCATATGCAAGGTGGATCACCAGCAAAGTGACGTAGGCAATGTTCGTGTTTCCTCCATATGTGACTGTCTGTTTTCTTGTAGTGGTTCTACACAATAGGTAGGGGAGCATCAAACATAGATGTTATGATCAGCTTTGAAAAATGGCCGCCATAGATAGAACAGTTTTGGAACCAAAACCTAATGCCACAGCTCACCCGAAATATTGCACGTGGAATGTGCAATTGCTCTGTGCATTTGAATAGGGGGTCAATCTTGATTTTGACACTTCAGTTAAATGGTCATCAAATTGCTGAGCCATTAGTATTGTTTACTTTCAGTAAGAAGTAAGCTCTCTACTCTTGCTTTCGTGCAGCATTTGTAATCAGATATGGGAAAACATCATCTACAACTTGGGAAGCCTTGATCAACTTGACAAGTCCAGATTAATCAGAAACTAGGCTTTAAGAAATCAAGCCCAAACAGCCAATCCAATTGCTATTTACCTACGCCAGGCCACCCACCAAGTTCACGATACTGACCACTGCTGATTAGAAACCAAGCAGCTGATCATTTTTCTCTGTGACCATATTTGGTACCACCATCAACACTTTGTAGCCAAAAGCCAATGTTTTAATTGTAGAAACTGTAGTGTAGAAACTGTAGTGTAGAAACTGTAGTGTAGAAACTGTAGTGTAGAAACTGTAGTGTAGAAACTGTAGTGTAGAAACTGGGGCAATCACTGATGGCCACATGTAAAGTTTTCAGATGAGTCAAGATACACTCTGGACTTTTTGGAGACATGTGGAAATATCTGGAGGTGTCCCAACGAACATAAGGCAACATGAGACATTTGGGATGGGGTCTGTAGTGATATGGGGCGGGATCACAATGACTGCCAGAATGCCACTGCATATTGTCCATGCAAGGGACACTGGACAGAACTACCAAGACTACATACCGGCACCAATAGTTGTGCCATTTGCATGCCATGCTGCTCCAAGTTTTGTCTTCAGGGTGATAACACTTGTACCCTCCATGGACTTATGGTAATTGACTATTTCCAGTAGCAAAACATCATCAGGAAGCAATGGCCAGCCATGATCCCTGACCACTCCCTCATAGAGCACATCTGGGACATGATACGGAGACTTGTACTCCCGACATCAGAGTCGAGCTGCTACATTAGCCAAACTGGACCAAGCCCTGCAAGAGGAGTGGATGTTGGACAAGTCATCAACGTTCATTTTGTTACACAGCCCTGTTGTCTCGGTTGTTTGCACCCTAACAGGGGCGGTCGGGTAGCCTAGTGGTTAAAGCGTTCGCTCGTCACGCCGAAGACCTGGGTTCGATTCCCGACATGGGTACAATGTGTGAAGCCCATTTCTGGTGTCCCCCGCCGTGATATTGCTGGAATATTGCTAAAAGCGGCGTAAAACCATACTCACTCACTCACTTGCGACCTAACAATACACCGCCAACATGTTGTGTTCATTGTCATGTTACACCTAGTCCTTACTTTTGCTTATCCATCCATTACCATCACTTGATACCTCTTTGCTCTTTGTGTTTCTGTAATCATCGTTATTTTAGGTAAGGTGAGAGACAGTTTCATGGATAACAACCTCTTGTAATGTCAAGAATTGATGGTCAAAACCAATTTACCATGAATTTGGAAAATACATGAATTTGATTTGTCAATCAGAGGTATTAAATCACAATAAACCCCTCTGATTGAAACAGACGATTTGATGGCTGCATCACCGCCGAAGCTAATATTCTTAAAATAGTACTTCTTTTACAGTCATTGTCGGAAGGCATATATAAATAATTATATGTACAATTATAGGCAACAAAATGCAAAGTTGCGGTCACTACAATATTCAAAGGATGTGTGGCAATACATTTAGTGCAAAAAACATGATGGAAATCTGCAAAGAGAATGTATTTTAAAATTTGTGGAGAGCTTGCTATTTGGCGCTTTTCTATATACGACTGTAACGTCATATCTTTTGCATCACAATGAGCGATATGATGTCATAATAGTGCTATCCGGTGTAGAACAAAACCTTTGAGAGGTTTGTGTAGTTTTCTTTAGTGTGCCAATGTCATGTCAGCTTACCAAGTTGACATGCTACATGCTTTCAGTGCCTGTCATAAGCTTGAGTGAAGTATTATGTTGTAAACAAACTGCTTGAGCATACAGCTCACCATATTTTGTTTGAAGGATGTTGTGCGGTGATTCTGTAAATTCTGATCGACAACCCATCCAAAACACTGGACTCAACCCGTGCCACTTCACTCAATATATTTGCTGACACCAAAGAGTTCACATTTTATTTACTCATGGTAGAATGGAGATAAACATATGTTTTCTCAATGTACAGCTAGGTTACGTGTAGATTTAATTGCGTTAAATTTAACATTTTAACCTCAGCTGCGGTTTAGTTCCAAATTCAATTTAGCAGGGTTAAATCTACAGGAAACCTAACTGTACATTGAGAACACCTTATGTGTATCTCCTAATTGACAAGCAGGTTCAATTGAATTGCATGGTTAAATACACAGATTCATTTTTGGAAAGACTCGAGAATTTTTTTGGGAAAATCCAACCAATATTTTGTAAATAATAGGAAATCTGGAATTTGAACGGAGTGTTTACATTCTAGCAAATTGTGCCTTGAAAAATATTTGAATCAGTGGTGAAGTCTGTGATGCTATTTACTAGCTCTCTCCTTCCAGGTACAGACAATGCTTTGTCAAAGTTGATGGAGTTTCGACAGGACTTCCTGCTGAGTGTGATGAAGCCCGCCACACCCACAGACACAGCTCTGGCCATTGTCAAGGGGGGGCAGAGGCGCGTCAGGGAGATCTACTACCCCTACCTGGATGTCAGGATACCATACTTACTGAGAGATTGGCTACCCAATGCCATAGAGTCTGTCACACGCTACATCTCTACACCCTCTCACTACAAGAGATAGTGTGAAGTGTGTCACACGCTACATTGTTACACACTCACACTACAAAAGATTGCTACCAGCTTTTCTTCAGACATGTAGATTGTGGGTATTGTACAACTTGCTTCTCAGGTCATCCTCAGAGAAAATAGAGCATGTCCGTCAAACACAACCATCACACAACATGACTACACCATCACACAACATGACTACACCATCACACAACATGACTACACCATCACACAACATGACTACACCATCACACAACATGACTACACCATCACACAACATGACTACACCATCACACAACATGACTACACCATCACACAACATGTATACACCATCACACAACATGTCTACACCATCACACAACATGTCTACACCATCACACAACATGACTACACCATCACACAACATGACTACACCATCACACAACATGTCTACACCATCACACAACATGTCTACACCATCACACAACATGTCTACACCATCACACAACATGACTACACCATCACACAACATGACTACACCATCACACAACATGACTACACCATCACACAACATGACTACACCATCACACAACATGACTACACCATCACACAACATGACTACACCATCACACAACATGACTACACCATCACACAACATGACTACACCATCACACAACATGTCTACACCATCACACAACATGACTACACCATCACACAACATGACTACACCATCACACAACATGACTACACCATCACACAACATGACTACACCATCACACAACATGTATACACCATCACACAACATGTATACACCATCACACAACATGTATACACCATCACACAACATGACTACACCATCACACAACATGTATACACCATCACACAACATGACTACACCAAAACACAACATGACTACACCATCACACAACATGTATACACCATCACACAACATGTCTACACCAAAACACAACATGACTACACCAAAACACAACATGTCTACACCATCACACAACATGTCTACACCATCACACAACATGACTACACCATCACACAACATGACTACACCATCACACAACATGACTACACCATCACACAACATGTCTACACCATCACACAACATGTCTACACCATCACACAACATGACTACACCATCACACAACATGTCTACACCATCACACAACATGTCTACACCATCACACAACATGTCTACACCATCACACAACATGTCTACACCATCACACAACATGTATACACCATCACACAACATGTCTACACCATCACACAATATGTCTACACCATCACACAACATGTATACACCATCACACAACATGTCTACACCATCACACAACATGTCTATACCATCACACAACATGTCTACACCATTGCACAACATGTCTACACCATCACACAACATGTCTATACCATCACACAACATGTATACACCATCACACAACATGTATACACCATCACACAACATGTCTACACCATCACACAACATGTCTACACCATCACACAACATGTCTACACCATCACACAACATGTCTACACCATCACACAACATGTCTACACCATCACACAACATGTCTACACCATCACACAACATGTCTACACCATCACACAACATGTATACACCATCACACAACATGACTACACCATCACACAACATGACTACACCATCACACAACATGTCTACACCATCACACAACATGTCTACACCATCACACAACATGTCTACACCATCACACAACATGTATACACCATCACACAACATGTCTACACCATCACACAACATGTCTACACCATCACACAACATGTATACACCATCACACAACATGTCTACACCATCACACAACATGTATACACCATCACACAACATGTCTACACCATCACACAACATGACTACACCATCACACAACATGACTACACCATCACACAACATGACTACACCATCACACAACATGACTACACCATCACACAACATGACTACACCATCACACAACATGTCTACACCATCACACAACATGTCTACACCATCACACAACATGTCTACACCATCACACAACATGTATACACCATCACACAACATGACTACACCATCACACAACATGTCTACACCATCACACAACATGACTACACCATCACACAACATGACTACACCATCACACAACATGTCTACACCATCACACAACATGACTACACCATCACACAACATGTCTACACCATCACACAACATGACTACACAAAAACACAAGATGTCTACACCATCACACAACATGACTACACCATCACACAACATGTATACACCATCACACAACATGACTACACCAAAACACAAGATGTCTACACCATCACACAACATGTCTACACCATCAGACAACATGACTACACCAAAACACAAGATGTCTACACCATCACACAACATGTATACACCATCACACAACATGACTACACCAAAACACAAGATGTCTACACCATCACACAACATGTCTACACCATCACACAACATGACTACACCATCACACAACATGTCTACACCATCACACAACATGACTACACCATCACACAACATGACTACACCAAAACACAAGATGTCTACACCAAAACACAAGATGTCTACACCATCACACAACATGACTACACCATCACACAACATGTATACACCATCACACAACATGACTACACCATCACACAACATGACTACACCAAAACACAAGATGTCTACACCATCACACAACATGACTACACCATCACACAACATGACTACACCATCACACAACATGTCTACACCATCACACAACATGACTACACCAAAACACAAGATGTCTACACCATCACACAACATGTATACACCATCACACAACATGACTACACCAAAACACAAGATGTCTACACCATCACACAACATGTCTACACCATCACACAACATGACTACACCAAAACACAAGATGTCTACACCATCACACAACATGTATACACCATCACACAACATGACTACACCAAAACACAACATGACTACACCATCACACAACATGTCTACACCATCACACAACATGACTACACCATCACACAACATGACTACACCAAAACACAATATGTCTACACCATCACACAACATGTCTACACCATCACACAACATGTCTACACCATCACACAACATGACTACACCAAAACACAATATGTCTACACCATCACACAACATGTCTACACCATCACACAACATGACTACACCATCACACAACATGTCTACACCATCACACAACATGACTACACCATCACACAACATGACTACACCATCACACAACATGACTACACCATCACACAACATGACTACACCATCACACAACATGACTACACCATCACACAACATGACTACACCATCACACAACATGACTACACCATCACACAACATGACTACACCATCACACAACATGTCTACACCATCACACAACATGACTACACCATCACACAACATGTCTACACCATCACACAACATGTCTACACCATCACACAACATGACTACACCAAAACACAATATGTCTACACCATCACACAACATGTCTACACCATCACACAACATGACTACACCATCACACAACATGACTACACCATCACACAACATGACTACACCATCACACAACATGACTACACCATCACACAACATGACTACACCATCACACAACATGACTACACCATCACACAACATGACTACACCATCACACAACATGACTACACCAAAACACAACATGTATACACCATCACACAACATGACTACACCATCACACAACATGTCTACACCATCACACAACATGACTACACCAAAACACAACATGTCTACACCATCACACAACATGACTACACCATCACACAACATGACTACACCATCACACAACATGACTACACCATCACACAACATGACTACACCATCACACAACATGACTACACCATCACACAACATGACTACACCATCAGACAACATGACTACACCATCACACAACATGACTACACCAAAACACAAGATGTCTACACCATCACACAATATGTCTACACCATCACACAACATGTCTACACCATCACACAACATGTCTACACCATCACACAACATGACTACACCAAAACACAACATGTCTACACCATCACACAACATGACTACACCAAAACACAACATGTCTACACCATCACACAACATGACTACACCATCACACAACATGACTACACCATCACACAACATGTCTACACCATCACAAAACATGACTACACCAAAACACAACATGTATACACCATCACACAACATGTATACACCATCACACAACATGTCTACACCATCACACAACATGACTACACCATCACACAACATGACTACACCATCACACAACATGACTACACCAAAACACAAGATGTCTACACCATCACACAATATGTCTACACCATCACACAACATGTCTACACCATCACACAACATGTCTACACCATCACACAACATGACTACACCAAAACACAACATGTCTACACCATCACACAACATGACTACACCAAAACACAACATGTCTACACCATCACACAACATGACTACACCATCACACAACATGACTACACCATCACACAACATGTCTACACCATCACAAAACATGACTACACCAAAACACAACATGTATACACCATCACACAACATGTATACACCATCACACAACATGTCTACACCATCACACAACATGTCTACACCATCACACAACATGACTACACCATCACACAACATGACTACACCAAAACACAACATGTATACACCATCACACAACATGTATACACCATCACACAAGATGTCTACACCATCACACAACATGACTACACCAAAACACAAGATGTCTACACCATCACACAACATGTATACACCATCACACAACATGTCTACACCATCACACAACATGTATACACCATCACACAACATGTCTACACCATCACACAACATGACTACACCAAAACACAAGATGTCTACACCATCACACAACATGACTACACCATCACACAACATGACTACACCATCACACAACATGACTACACCAAAACACAACATGTATACACCATCACACAACATGACTACACCATCACACAACATGTCTACACCATCACACAACATGACTACACCAAAACACAACATGTCTACACCATCACACAACATGACTACACCATCACACAACATGACTACACCATCACACAACATGACTACACCATCACACAACATGACTACACCATCACACAACATGACTACACCATCACACAACATGACTACACCATCAGACAA